GGGGGGGAGCTAACCTCATCATTCATATGCAATCTAACAGATTCCAGGGTTCCTGTTTTTTTCTGATAGGCCTTTGCAATGGCCTCATGCGAAAGGGTTCAAGTTAAACAAGTTCAAATTAAAACATGGAGCGCCTGCGGGTGCTGCAGTCAGCTGGGGCTCTGGATAGAGTGTTACTGTGGCAAATGTTATGAATACTTTCCAATTACATTGCAAAAGTAAACAATGCCCCCCAGTTCAGTAACATCAAGAATTAAAACTCACTGACATTAAGAAATAGTTGCGTTAGTCTGTAAGTCAACTTTTCCAAGTGTTTACCTGTTGTGGGCGAAACTCCCAGTTTGTTGTTTACCATGGGCATCATCTTAGTGGTATCCAGTCCATTCTCCTTTTCTTTCTTCCCCACACAGAGAGTTCTGGTTTGAGGATTGAGGGCAAACCGGAAAGTGGACACATGGGTCTTTGGCTTCTTAACATCTTTGTCCATCCTTGACTAGAAATGATGAGCAGACGAAGGTTGTTTTTCACTCAGTCAGGCTTCCTCTTCTTCTCTTGTAAGTGCTGGTTTTCCTCAGTATACAAGAATAGTGTGAAGCTGTGGTTTGTTTTACTCAGTATATAAGTACAGTGTGAAGCTCTAAGTGTGAAGCTTGTGGGTTACATAGTCGCCCCGTCTCTCTTCACACATCCTCTGAGATGCTAACGGGAGGAGCCTCTGCTTTCAGACTGCCTCTGATATCACTATCCACCCTCAGCCCCACAGTCCACAGGAAACAGCCAGTTTTATCAGAAGGCCAATTAAAAAAAAAAACACATGTCCTGCCCCCGACTGTCCCTCTGGACTGAAAACAGAGAGAGTGAGAAAGACACACATGTGATAGAAAACAAAAGAGATACTGAGCCAGAGTAGGAAATGTGTGAGAGACAGAAAACAGTACTGCTAAAGAGAAACAGAGAGCAACAAGATGGATAGTGATAAAAAAAAAAAAACACACACACACACAAAAGAAGTATATATATATATTTTTAAAAAAAAGCTTACCTGAAGCCAGTCTTCATACAGACCCTTTATCTCCTCTCTTCCTCTCTCCTGCCGTCAGCTTCTTTTTGGCATTTTATTTTATTCCCTGTAAACACTCAGCAGACTGTAGGTTGAGCCACACTGCCGGAGTCGCCGGAGGAATCAAGGAAAGCCAGTAGGGCAGCTTTCTGTGAGCATTGACTCTGCTGTGCAACAGACAACATGTAGACAGATAAGTGAGGTTTGCTGTTTAAAACTGTGGGTAAGAGTTTCTTTGAATGAGTGGAGAGGTGGGATCATGTGACCGCAAACAGTAAGCTCCACTGGTGAACTAGACACCATTATTTCTGTTGGTATGGAAATGGATAGCTGCTGGTTGGGTGTGTCCTCGAGGTGTGCTTTCATTTACCTTTTGTTGGACGGTTGTTAGCTACAGAGTGGTTTCTCTAAAGCCTATGAAGTGAGTTGGTAGGCCCTGTTACTACTCTGAAAAGCGGTTTCACTGAAGGTCTATAAAAGCTTCATTGGCTTGATTTTAAATTTACTTACAGTATGTGAATAAAAGTTTTATGAACTATCTCACATGGACAAATAAAAATTCTAACTATCACTATATTATATTGTATTTCTTTATTAGTTAGTGAATGTGCACCTAAGTGCAATAAGCATATGAGCCACTGTCATTTGTCTAGATACATGGAATAGCAGTAAACATATATTAATATGGCTTTGGCTTTGGTATAAACCATTACTGACTGCTCATATAGTTTAACATGGAAATATGGAATTAACTTTAGATAACTGAGACATTTATCACTGATAAAGACAAACACAAAATGCTTCCAGTGTTGTGGTTTTAAATGGACGCATTTCACTGAGTGGTGGTCAGTGGAAGAATGCAAGGAAACCATTACAGGGGCTGGTATGTATGTGTAAGTAGTACCATATGGTGGGAGGCACATAATTTACCAACTGGTCCTAAAAGCACGTTGATTGATGGACCTGACATCGACAAAAGCTCAACTGTTTACTGATGGAAAGACTCACTCTACCCACTCTCCGAAATAAAGAAATATCACAAATGTACCTGAATACACACACAAGCACAAACATTTTCTCTTCTTTTTTCTCAATGAAAACAGTTTATGCAGTTTATGTAAGTTGATTAGTTTATATTAAGTTTTTCAGCTCATTATTAATCAAAAAATCTAGATGCTTCAGATTAGAACTCTATGTTCGAACAAGATAACTGGGAAAATGCGGTATCCACAAACAAAATGTGTTCTTGTTTATTCAGCTGTCTCGTCCATGTGAACTTATTTAATAAAGTAATTTATAATTTCATGTATTTGAACATGTTATTTTTAAGGTAATCATGAATTAGACTGCAGACGGAGGCTGCAGAGACAGAAGTTAGCTACTAGTAGCATTAACCTGCTAAGCTAGCAGGACTCGTGTTACTGTTTTTTTAAGTGAATATAATAATGAAATTCTTTATTGAGATTCAGGAAAATCTTTGAATTTGAATTTTCACTTACAGGAAACATAAAAATTGATAAATTGGCTAAAGTTTACACTGGAGTGCAGTCACTGCAGCTTGGTTTTTACCTCTGCTTTGTGGTCCTTGCAAAATTTTGTTGTTTGTATGTTGTTTTTTGGTTTCAAATTCCTATTGGCATATTTTGGTCTTAAATTTTTGGTCTCAATTTTGCCAAAATATGTTGTTATTTTGTTTTGTATTTGACTGTGCCTGCTCTTTAATTAAGTATTCATCTGTTTCAGTTTTGAAATGTGTAAAGATAATAAACAAAAAGCTGGACAGATGAAAGGAAGCACATATCACCCAGTGGAAAATGTGGACTGATCACTAAGGTCCAGCTGTGGCACATTCTTTTGAAATAGCCATATAAGGTAAAAAAAAAAAAAGAAAAGATACCACAGAATAGGCTCTAGTGCAGTCAGTGGTACCTTTCTACCCAATATGGATCTTTCCAACATAGAATAAGGGCATTATTGTCCAAAGAGCTTTCATCTCAGTAGTCTAATAGCACGGCATCAAAGCCCCCCCTCTTTCCTAGAAAATTATCCTTATCAGACGGAAATCATTCGAGATTTTGACCGACTCTTACGGAATTCAAAACAGGAAAAGCAAAGAGTGGGAAGGACGGCGTTCTCTCTCTGTCACATAACATCCCAACTATGGTAATCATTTTACATCCTGTTCCCATGAAGTCCTTCAAAGACCTTCTCTGTGCTAAGCATTTCACTTCCTCTTTCCCACAAACTATTCCAAACATATGTAGAGTTCATCACTCCATCACTCCATGAAACAGAAGTGAAGGCAGGCCAAATATTAGTGAAGCATGCTCATAATATGGTTTGAAAGTGATTGTATGGTTTAAAAAAATGTCAAATGGGGCCCTCCTGTGGTTGTACACCTCACACTGCAGAAATGATAAAAATCTGTTAACTAGAATTGATGGCCATAAAAGACATGGTCAAATCAAGACCAGTGACGTCCACTGAAGTCCTCAAATAAACCTGGGAAACAATAATATTGATTGCATTGTGAAGACTCAGCATCAGTCGTCTTTAATATTCTTCTTTATCTCTTCAGCCTGAATTTTTTTGCAGGCAAATAAGAAGAGGCAGATAAGGCGTCATAGACAGAGAGTCAGTGATGAGCACAAAGAAAGATAAAGCCACATGCTCATGTATACACGTAAAAGACTTGTCCTGTAACAGATAAACTAATTGGCAAACAGACAATCCTCTCTTTGTCCTAATATTTACAACTTTTTGGGCAAAACCTCGCGACTCAGCCCACAAATGATACCGTTTTGTCATCATCTTTCCCTCGAAGAGCCTGCTCTGGTTCAGTAGTTAATGAGGACAGAGTAAAAAAAAAAAAAAAAACAGAGGATGACATCTGAAATTAGCAAGCAGCATGGTCTTTCACAGCCTGATACTCTCTGGCGTGAGCTCTGAGAGAGCAGAAAATGGGGAGAAGAGAGACACGGGAGATGGAGGCAGGACAGAAAAAGGACACGAATCAAAAGAGATGTGAGGAAAACAGAGGACATTCAGTTCAGGCAGTGTGTCACAAGGACCCTCACCGCTGATCACCCTGAGGTTACTGTGATAGAGACTATTCTGCTGCAGCCAGAGGTCTTGGTCCTTTTCCAGCCCGTGGAGTCGGATCAGGTTTCCTGCAGCTGCTTCGGAGCCATACGTTGGTGGAGAAGCTCTGGGTGGAGAGCTTGGTCCTCCAAAGGATGGAGGAAGCCCCCGAAGCAAGTTCCAGAAGTCAGATGGCTACAAGGATACACGGCACACTTTGAGATGTGACAGAAAGAAACTACGGCTCTCTCCTCGTTTGACATTTTTCAAATAAATATTCTCCTGTTGTTTTTTTTGTTGACTCATCAAATATTTTAGGGCAGCAACTTAATATGTGATTTATAGCATATCATCTGTAATTGTACAGTTCAGCTCATAGGAATACAGATAAACTCAGATTAAGTATTCAAAGTATTCATTTCAAAAAGAGTAAAACCTTTTCTCTTAACATCTTTTAATTGCATACAGTTGAGGAAGAGTGTGCACCAACAAACTGAATACCTTTCAAGTGCTAATTAAAACAATTTTCAAATTGTATGACAACACATCTGTATTTTTCTAGGTTATTAAACACATGCACCTCTCCCATGATGCCAAACTTTGCTTGAGGAATCAAGTAAACTGCTGAATGCCAGACACATTGTTGTAATTTTTCAATATTCACATTATATTCCCATAGTATTAAGAGTTCATATTCATATTCAATCATATTTCATAGTGCTTTTTGTACTTGACTGATGCTACTATTCAAATAGTCTCACGGTGACATCATGTTCTTGTAAGATAAGCTGTTATCAGGCTACATGTTCATTTTCATACGTTCGTGTGACACTGGATAACTTTTAGGTTCTCAGCCTTGTCTGTTCACACCTGAGGACAGTGAGGACAGTTTGCAGTTTGCTGTCTGTTCGGTCTAATTTTTATTCTAACAGAGTATAAACTCTAAAAAAAGAATTGGACTGTCTGCATCAAGCCCTCACGATGTGCAGTATTAAATGCATGTTCATTTTCTTCAATGCGCTCTTCTTGGTAAGTAATGTGAGTAATTTCATTTATGAATGAAATGTTGTGAATGGTGATGACTGATAAGAAATTATTAGACAAAATCAATATCACTGTCTAGACAATGTGTGGTTGTCTGATAACTGCTTTGAAGAGGTACGGGAAGTCTGCTGTAACTGGAATTCTTCACACTGTCACTGTAAGAGAAGAAATAAAAGAAGAGGCGGGGGAGTTTAAGTCATTTGTAGGATACGTTGAAAGAAAATTTTTCTTTCTGGTTGTATCAAACATATTCATATTAGATGGTCTCAGAGGTCTCAGTGGTTGGGCAGAGTAAAGGGAGCAGTTACAAATATGAAAGATAATCAGTCTCACTCTGGGCCAAATGAACCAGCAAGGGGTGCTGGGTGGGCCTTTGCATGTGCAAAAAGAAAGTGAATAATTGTAAAAGTTCAAATTACTAACTAGTGTGGGGGGAAAAAAAGGTGGCTCATCAGCACAGAATGACTCTCTGAGGCCTCTTCTTAATTGTTATTATAGAGAAAAAATTTAAAAAACTTTTAGAACAATGGATATGAGCAATGCAATCAATATTCACCCCTCTATGCTTATTTTACACACATAGAAATTTCATTAAAAAAGTCCCTTAGAGATGCAACTCATAGATGTCACTCGGTCCCGTGATGCAGCAGATTGACAGCTGACTGCCACTAAATCACCGGCACAGCTGTGTTCAGTGGGTTTCATGTTGCGATATAAAGCTCTGAATTAATGTCGAGTTGTTAAATTTCTCTTTCAGGCTTCGGGGGTTGCCCTCATCACTATCGGAGTGCTACAGTACTCGACTTACACACAGATAGGCACTTTTGCAGGGGGCGGCCTGTCGAAAATTGCTATAGTCCTCATTGCAGTGGGTGTCACCATAGCCCTCATCTCCCTCTTGGGCCATGTTGGGGCATTCATTAATAACTCCTCTATGGTGACTTGTGTAAGTAACATAATCTTCCATAATGGGTTTGGGGTTGTCTCCTCATAGATCTTATTAAGAACATGTCTAGCGGAACATGGTCACTTCTGACTTTAACATGACACATCGGAAGATTGTTGTAAGTTTTAAGGCGGATGGGAAATGACTGACCTTTCACACTGTTCACTCTGTTTCTCCATGAACTAGTTCATCTGCATCTTGATAGTGATCATCCTTTTGGAGGTATTCACAGGCGCTGCCTTCTACATATTCCGCAGCAGGGTGAGACACTGAAATCCTGCTCGCAGGGAATTACTTGAGACTGAGATCAATGAATTAGCATTAACAGTGTTTCTTAAAGAATAAAGAGGTGACAAACCCTTAAATTAAACCCTTAAATAAAACAAAGATCTAGTGCTGATCATAGTAATGTTTTAATCACATTTTCTCTGCAGACTGCCCTCCTGCAGATGAATAGTGGTATCAATTCCAAAGCACGAGCGGTGATCAATGAATACAGCCCGGGGAACAGACACGCCATCAACAGAGTTCAGGAAAAGGTGATATGGACTTCAGAGAATGTGTAGCACATGATCATATACAGGGCCAAATTAAACCAATAGAGGGCCCAGAAGAAAAAAAAAGTGTGGGCCCCTAATAAGCCCTCGTTTCTTCCACTTTGTATTAAAAATGGTGGAATTTGTACCATGTAAGTAGAATATAAACTGAAATATTAAACTAAAAAAAAAATATATGCTATATTTTAATCCCTCTACGAAATGATCATTCATGTATTTCTGTAAGGTTGCTGTCATTTCATATTATATTACCACAAGGTGAGCCTGAAGCCCTCAGGCCTCCTAAAGATCTGGGGCCTCAGGGACGTTGCCTGCTTTGCCTGATTGGTAATTATAATATGACATATGCTGTAGAAAGACAATGCTTTCCAAATAACTGAAAGAATTTGTTGTTTGTTGTCGATTAAAATGTTCTAAGCTATCAAAATCGAAACAGAGCAGAAGAGAATTATTTCTTTTTGATAAAACCAGGAGTTTCACCTTTTGTTAATCTCAGAAAAATACTTTTGGGCCCCTCTACAGCAATCCTGAAGAATTTGCCTTTTTTTTTTCTTTTTTTTTTACAATGGAACATGTACAGAAATAGGTCTACAAATACATCAGTGATTTGGTGCAATCCTCATGTGTTGTACACCATGTCACAGTTTAGCTGCTGTGGTGCAGACAGCTATGAAGACTGGTCCGAGAGTGTGGGCTGGGAAAACCACGATGCCGTGCCGGATTCCTGCTGCGTGGTGAAGAGTGAGGGCTGTGGACAGGACATGAGCCATGCACACAAAAAGGTCTGCTGGGAAAACTCATTTTATGTTTACAATCATTTCATCAATTCTTTTCTGTGAGCAAATGATGCAGTATCTTATGTGTGTGCTCATCCTCAGGGTTGTACCTGGGCTATCAAGCTCTTTCTGTTGAAAAACCTGGTGTGGGTTGGTGCTGTCTGCATTGCTCTTGGAGTCGCAGAGGTAAACTGTTTGTTGAGGAATTTATACACTTTTTATTATAATATAACATATTTGCCTTGCATATGAGAATGTCTGATAAAAACAGAAATGCCATAAACGTATCTTTGATACTTCATGATTTACTAATTCATTCAAATAAATAATTTATATGCAAATTCCAACAATTTCCATGAGTAGATTTTCATATAAACAACGTTCATGTAGACATTTAAAAAGAAAGTAAGGAGAGGATCTCATGAATGATAATAAAGCCTGTCTCATCCAGTTTGCCCTGGGTAGTGAAATCCAGAATTAATTAGAATTTACTGAGAGAGAAAAGAACCTGTTTGACCCATCTGTAAGGTAATTTGCTGCCAGTAACTTACAACCTTTTTCCTGTTACAGCTTTTTGGAGTGTTAGTCGGGGTGTGCCTGTGTCTGGACATAAAAGGAAAAAACTATGAAAACTTCAGCTGATGTGCCATCGTGCCCATACACAGTTGTATTCCTAAATCAGTGACAGTTTCAGTTTGGTTTTGTTTGTTTCTTTTTTCTTATTTTTTGGCCAAATTTAATCTATTGTATTTGCTTCTGGTTTTGACAAATGGAAATTGTTTTGTTTATTATGGTCTATGACAATAAAAACACCTGTTATAATAGTAAATTTCATGCTTACCATGAATATGTTCAATAAATGTGGGATACATGGCAGTAATGTGGTTGTGTGGTTCAATCTGTATGTTTAACAGCTGGTTTTACATAAGAACCTTTGAAAAGATTTTCTTTTGCAAACAGTTTTGCAAAAAGTTCATTCATACAGTTCATCTTTGTGTTGCTTGGTCCCCTCACTGAATGCTTGCTCTGTGGAAACCAAATGGTTTCTGAGATTTTCTTAGAGGTTTGTAAAGTTTATTGACATTTTGGCTCTTACATTCTGAATGTGATCTCAGTGGCAAACAAAATAATAAATGGCAGCAACATTAAGTAAAATGACAGTAGTAAACTGCACACAATGTATTCATACTCGCCAACCTACATGTCTTTTCAAGAACAAACAATGCGGAGTTCAATTTACAGAGGATGTTACTCCTCCATGCTGCTGTGTGCATTTGTAGGTATTTTTGAGAATTACAGCCAAACAGTATTTTCTCCTTCCCGAGGTAAAATTATCCAATATTTTACAAGATTAACTAATAGTTAAGATTGGGGAAAATATATTTTGTATTCAAATTGTTCTACAGTAACACTCTTCTGTTTTTTTTTACACACTGGACACTGTTCAGGACGTGTCCATTAATGAATGGTTTCCAAACACGAATCAAATGACTTTACGCTAGGCTAAGTAGTGAACTACACTTCCCGGAAATCCTCTACCGGAAGTGTGTCCGCTCCCGAAATTTGCCCCACTTTAGCAAACCAGTAGCCTATCAGCACGAAAAGCAGCATGTGTGCGGCAGGAGCCTGGAAAAGTGACTGAAAAGCAGAGGTTTATCAGCAACACTGAAACTCATATTACAGGTAAAGACTCGGTTTTATTGCGACATTGATTAGAACCAACACCCAATAACTAACTTGCCACACGAGCTAACAGGCTGTGTTTATCGTTAGCATTTAGCCAGCCAAAGTACAGACTAACCCCCAACTAGCTGTCTGAATTAAGTAGAGCTGTATTAAACAAAAGTAGAAATTACACTGCACAATACTTTATCACTGTAAATGAAAAGCAGAATAATAAAGTATGTAGCCAATTGAGTGAATGGTTAATGTATTAGGTCATGTGTAGAATTATCTAAGAGATTCTTTGTAAATTGTCTCTTATTTCTCAAGCAGTATGTCAGGGGCATTAATCCAGCGAATAAAGGAGCTGGAGGCTGAGCTGGAGAAGCTCAAGTCCCAGCTGAGGGAAAGCAGTGGAGCTGGGGAGGACATGGAACTGACGTCCAGTTCATCTACTAATGGAAGCACAGCCTGCAAGCCTGATAGTAATACCAGAAGCAGCAGTAAAAAGGGTAAGAAAGCAAGCAAGGAGCGTCCTTTTGACTTCTCTGCCCACCCTCGGCGCCATGTGGCTCTGCGGCTGGCGTACCTGGGGTGGGCCTACCAGGGCTTTGCAGTACAGGAGAACACAGACAACACTGTGGAAGCCAGACTCTTTGAGGCTTTGCTGAAGACTCGGCTGATCCAGGACAGACAAAGCTCCAACTATCATCGGTGTGGTCGCACCGATAAAGGAGTCAGTGCCTTTTCCCAAGTGAGTACACAGATATGAAGATTGTGTTTTATCAATTACAGTTCAATAATGATGAAAATAATATGCTATGAAGGATACAGCCTGATATTCGGGTGATGTCTTGCATGAATAGTTTTTGTTATGCAATTGTTAAGTAAAATTGTCTCTTTTCCACAGGTCATTACTATTGATTTGCGCTCCACACAGTTTTGTGGAGGACTGGGCGTCACGCTCCCTGAAAATGTTGATGTAAGTACCAAGAATAAAGCTGCCGTCACTGAGGTTCCATATGTGAAGATGCTGAACAGAGTCCTGCCCCAGGACATTAGGATCTTGGACTGGGTGCCAGTAGCAGAGGGTTTCAGTGCACGCTTTGACTGTCAGTCCCGTACGTACCGGTACTACTTTCCCCGAGGATCTTTGGATTTGGCATTGATGGCAGATGCTGCAAAAAGGTGGGTGAAGGCACAAAATCAAAACACTGATGTCACCCCTTGAAGTCATAGTTCTGATTTGAAGCCTCTCTTGGCACCCAACAGATATGAAGGCACTCATGACTTTCGGAACCTGTGCAAAATGGATGTGGGCAACGGAGTCCTGCAGTTTGAGCGGACCATCTTGTCAGCATCAGTCAAGCCTGTGCAGCCTCAGTGCACCTCCAGCACAGATCAATACGACCTCTTCATATTTGAGATCAAAGGATTAGCCTTCCTTTACCACCAGGTATCAAGAGACATGTTTTTACAGCTGTGGTCAGCAATAAGTAAAATTCATTTTAAGCTAATATTATTTGTATACATTAGGCCCTTTTTGTTCTAAAACTATTTTATTGCAAAGTCTCAATAACAGCAACACTGTTCCGGTGTTTGCAATTCAGACATAAATCTTGTGGAGCCAATTTCTTTCAAATTTTGAATACTTTGATTAGTGACCTTTGCGGTCTCTGTTGTGTTACACCACAGGTACGATGCATGATGGCAGTGCTTCTACTGATAGGGCAGAAACTGGAAGCCCCAGAGATAATTAATCAGCTCCTGGATGTGCAGAGTAACCCTAGGAAGCCCCAATACAGGTGCATTGACTGCTGATGAAGAGTTTGTACATTGTGTTGCCTTTTCTGTTATTATATATATATATATATATATATACTCCCACTAGGAGTCCTGAACAAATATGAATAAATAATTTGCTCTGTAAACTAAATCAGTGATCGTAATAATGCTAAACTACATCAGTAAGAATCTTAATTAAACATTTTCCCTCTTGTCACTAGCATGGCAGTAGACTACCCTCTGGTGCTGTATGACTGCCACTTTGAAGGTCTGATATATATATATATATATATATACTCCCACTAGGAGTCCTGAACAAATATGAATAAATAATTTGCTCTGTAAACTAAATCAGTGATCGTAATAATGCTAAACTACATCAGTAAGAATCTTAATTAAACATTTTCCCTCTTGTCACTAGCATGGCAGTAGACTACCCTCTGGTGCTGTATGACTGCCACTTTGAAGGTCTGAGCTGGAAACAGGAGACCGAAGAGGTGAACTATGTACTGTCTGCACTGCAGCAACACTGGACTCAGAGTGCAGTTAAGACCCACGTCGTCCACGGGATGATCAGCGGTTTGGAGGCGACAGGTGAGAGGTTCATTTAGATGAATTAAGAGTTGGCTTGCATTAAAAAAATCACGTTCACAATAGCACTGCACTCATTTATTTTGAAGCACCATGATAATTTTTGCAGATGAGTTTTAAATTCATATTTTCATGCATTTTTAAGCATGTAAAATAGGTTTGTTGGAATTGCAGTGATAGCATGATCGTGGACAAGAATTTTTGAGAGCCCTGCTGACTAGAGCTGCAGCAATTAGTTGCCAACACAAAATGAATTAGCAACGATGTATATTGATAATTGATTAACAGCTTTAGTCATTTTTCAACCAAAAATAACAAACATAGTTTGGGTCCAACTTCTCAAATGGGAGGATTTGTTTTTACTAATAAAGCAAGCAATTTCTTGGGCATTTTTTTACTATTTTCTGCCATTTCATGGACAAATTATTAATCTAGTCATGGAAAAAATAATTGGCCAATTGATAAAAATATTCTATAGTTGTGACCCTGTTGTAACTTTCCATCCTTGTGCATTATATTAATATTTTTGCTTAGCCCTAAACCATCATGCACATTATTTGGTCAAATAATGTCACTGTACTTGAGTGTACTGTACATAAATGGTGTCCATCCACAGGTGGAGTGTCCTCTGACCACTGCTGGCTAATAGAAGGCAGCAGGCAGAGAAACTACCGTCCGCTGCTGGAGCGTCCGTGCTGCGAGAGCCTGGAGTCCAGGATAGACCATTTTGTTAAAAGAGGCAGACTGGAGCGGGAGGAAGGGGAGAACGGGGGTGAAATGGTCCACAGAGGAAAAAGGTCCAAACATTCCCACACTTCCTCCAGTCTTCCTCTTTCTTCAGAGATGCCATCGTCAAAGCAAAGTACAGATCAGAAAGCAGCGGATTAATATTTTAACCGTGGAGAATGGACTTGCCAAAGTTTATTTTGTACTAATTTTCATTCATGCCAGATTATAAATACATTTTGCTTTAGGACACAAAACAGTGTATTTAATTTTGTGTATCATAAAACAGCGTATTTCCATTTTCTTTCATGCAGATATGTCTTTTGTTTTTAAATAAATCCATTCTGGAGACAGTTTCTGACGCCGAGTTTGGTTTACAACACAACTGTAGTAATTCAGCTTGAATGGGAATTTCGAGATAAGCTAGACGGAACTAATGTTACTATAGTGAATGATGTGGGAAGATTTTTAAGGTTGCGCTTGCCAAACTAAGAAGCTAGGTCGTTAGCTGTCAGTTGAGTACAATTTGGAGTCACAGACAACAGTATCCAGTTATACGACTGTGTCTAACATTTGAATCTGACCGCACATTTGATAAAACGGAGTGGACATGGCCGCGGCTTCGTTTGTTTGTACATTTGTGGTCGTTCTGACCTGATCAACACTTGTGCTAACGTTAGCTTGTTAGCAATCCTGGTTGTTTACTGCATCAGCCCCACCACTGTGGCTCCGCACGGATTTCCACTGTACGTTCAGTTGATTTAAGGACGCTCTCACGTTTACAAGGTAAAGCAAAAAAAAAAAAGGATATAAAAGAAAAAACACGTGTAGTTTACCAGCAATAACAAAACAGTCTAATCTGGAAGTAATTAGTCAATCTTTATGGATTGATACAGATTTTACAGGGCTGTTAAACTTCGTCTGAGTTTATCTTGGCGTTGAGTTAAGAATAACTTAAAAGCTAATTTTGTGACCAGTCAGACCGCTTTGACTCCCATGGTGGCTAATTAGCCGAGTAGTTGGTACATAAGCTGAGTGTAGCTCATCTCTTCCACAGCAGGGGGCGTGTTGTTAAACCCCATAACAGCCGCGTGAAGGCTTCAAAATACAGTGTAGTGCATTTCATGCAGCAAGAAACGTACAAATAGTTAGAGGTTTGTGAAGTTTAACACTGAGGGTCTCTCCAGTAACAGAATGCATATAATTGGGACATTTATAATAGAAAGTAACTTAGTACATTCACCCAAGTACTGTACTTATGTTGAATTTTGCGGTACTTGTACTTTACTTGAGTATTTCCATTTTTGCTGCTAGTTTTACACCACACCACTCCTATTTAGAGGTGAATATTGTACTTTTTCCTCCAGTGCATTTATCTTACAACTTTAGTTACTAGCTAGCTAGAATCAACAAATAAATTACGACGTATTATTATAGGTTAAGTATATAGAGCAGTAAATAAAGTAATTTGATGTAGTCTTTACCAGCTGCAGCAATAAAGTGACGCTTACACATAAATAATTATAATTCAAATAAAATAATATACACTATTCTGAAATGGGTCTTTCAAGAAGTACTCTTACTCTTGGTACTTAAAGTATATTTTGTACTTGTAACAGTTTTTTTTCTTTGTGGTATTACTACTTTTACTCAAGTAAAAGATCAGAGTACAGTGTATACATAGCTTTGCTGTCTGATAGTTTGAGATTGTAATAATTCTTCTCATACTCTAACACCCTGTTTATTTGTCAGATATTATTTCATTTTGTGAGAAGTGAGAAATGCTCTGACACAAGTTTGTCTGTGAATGTTCTCATTCGTCCAGGTCATAGTAATCTCTCTCTCAAATTAAATCGAAGGCAACTGGACTTGTATTTGTCTGTGGAAGACGTTTCGCCTCTTATCCAAGCGGCTTCATCAGTTCATCATGTATTGGTCTCTCTAGTCCGCACTAGTCTGACCAAGAAAATGGAGAAGGACCCAGGTATTTAACCTCTTGTGGGTGGGTCCACCAAAGTACCTGTGAAAGTACTGGTTTCACCTGACCATTGTTGTGGTCTCATGTGGACGACCGTCGTTAGGGGTCAGGTGACCCTGTTGTTGTCCCCTGTGAACGACAGTCGTTAGGGTCAGGTGAGCCCCTGGTGGATGACGATCGTTGAGAGTCGTCTGAGGTTATGTTGTTGACCCTCCTGGGTACCGATGAAAGGGCGACATTGTAGATGGGGGATAGATGGTGTCGCAGACCACCTCCCCTGTTTAGCGATGGCCTCTCCACTTTTACATAGATGGCTTCCTTGACTCCCCTTTCAAACCATCTGTCCTCCCTGTCCAAGATTTTGACATTGCTGTCTTCAAAGGAGTGTGCCTTTTCCTTTAGGTGGGAGTAGACAGCTGAGACAGGGCCTGAAGAGTTTGCCCTCCTGTGTTGGGCCATACGTTTGTTTAAAGGTTGTTTAGTTTCCCCAATATATAGGTCATTGCAATCCTCACTGCATTGACCCCTAACGGCGGTCGTCCACATGAGACCACAACAATGGTCAGGTGAAACCAGTACTTTCACAGGTACTTTGGTGGACCCACCCACAAGAGGTTAAATACCTGGGTCCTTCTCCATTTTCTTGGTCAGACTAGTGCGGACTAGAGAGACCAATACATGATGAACTGATGAAGCCGCTTGGATAAGAGGCGAAACGTCTTCCACAGACAAATACAAGTCCAGTTGCCTTCGATTTAATTTGAGAGAGAGATGACACAAGTTTGTATTTTCTTTATATTTCTGTTGTTTCTAACTATCCAAGTTTTAGCCAGGTTTTGTATTTGTGCCACCATTACCGTTTTTCATAATTTCCGTCACATTTTCCTGAAACAGTGTTGTCACTGCACAGACATTACTTTGATACGTCTCTATCTTTGCTTTAAGATGTTCCTGGTGGGGCTGACGGGAGGTATTTCCTCAGGGAAAAGCACAGTGTCTTCAATGCTGCGGGAGCTTGGTTGCCCCATTATTGATGCTGATGTTGTGGCCAGGAAAGGTGAATATCTCTTTCCCTGCAAACTATTCAGATTTACACAGTCAATATGAACTCAGTTTAAGTACTGGTCAAAAGCTGAACTCTCCTCTAGAAGGCAGCCTCTAAGATAAACTATTATGGAAATTATGATTCACATAAATGTACAAACTGTGCTTTATGTAATAATAACATTTATCATTATTATTATAGTTAATTGTTGAAATGGACATAAGGAATTTAGGCCTGAAGGAGGTTCATTAAGACAAAGGCTTGGAGAGAGTGTGTGAATCATGAAGGCTGTCTCTGTTGACTGCAGGGATGATGTTTTAGTTATGTGGTGAAGATTAAAAGGTCACAGAACTCGGTGAAGTGTGCACAGTTGCATGTAGGGGAACATATAAGGCATTAGGCTAATGATTTAATAACACTGGTGGTTGATGAGTCTGTTAAAAAATCTCTACCTCCCTCCCTCCTGTGTTTCTTTTGATGTGTCATTTTACATCTTATACTAACTGGTTTTGTTTGCCTAAAAGACATTTCTTTTAATTTGACATATTGCTTGTTTAATTAAAACAATGATATAACGGTACCAATATCACAACAACAGTTGTGGAGCCGCACACTCCTGCCTACTCTCGCATTGTCTACCACTTCGGGCCGGAGATCCTTCTTGAGAATGGAGAGATCGACCGGCAGAAGTTGGGTCAGCTCATCTTTACCAGCGAGGAAAAGAGAAAGCTGCTGAACTCCATCACCCACCCAGAGATCCATAAAGCAATGCTCAAAGAGATCCTGTACTACTTTCTCAGAGGTGAGGGAGGAATTGGGTTTGCTTCCTTTATAGGTTGACAGGGAAAAGGAGGACGAATTACTTAAAGTGAGTCAAGTCTGGTTGGATGGGCATTAGGTTTGAGGCTGTTTCTTTATACTTTGTGAGTGGCTCTCTGTGAGAATCTTACCAACATTTTATCAGGTAGAGGGTGAAAGTAAGAGATGAAAGTAGGAAGTTGTTGCTGCACTTTAGGTGTTTTCCTGTAAACTCACCAAACCATAACGAAAAAAAAAAAAAGAAGTACAACTCCCACTTGCTGCATTAATTCTTTAACATCTCGAGATGATGCCATAAAATGAACTTTGCATGCGCCTGTATGTTTCTTATAAAGTAATTAACTTGATTGTGTTACTGGTATTTTCACAGTGTTGGAGTGTAAATGTGTTGACACTAATTAATTCGGTTCACAATGCTCCCCCTCTTTTTCCCTCTCCCTAGGGTATCGCTATGTGGTGCTCGATGTGCCTCTTCTCTTTGAAACCAGACGTCTCACTCAGTTTCTGAACCACACTGTGGTGGTTTACTGGTAAGACCGCCGCTCATTGTTTCTCCATTTGCTCCATCACTATGGAGTTTTACTTTTAGACTGTTTGCTTACAGATTTCATATTTTAAATAAGTAAATATTCGGCAGTTTGTTTTTGACAGACACTGGCCATTAAGCCCAGTTTTGTGATTGGTGATCTCTCTCCAGCGCTCTCTCTCTCTCTTTGCCTTATTTGAATGACTCACTGCCTCTGGATTTTTTAACAAGGCACCCTGGCTGCACCATAAATAACCTCCATTGTCCGTTCCTTTTCAGTGACCCTGCCACTCAGCTATCGCGCCTGATGCAGAGGGACGGCCTGACCCAGGAGCAGGCCGAGCAGCGCGTGGCTGCACAGATGCCGCTCAATGAAAAGCGCGGTTTGGCCAATCATGTTATTGAGAACTCAGGCAGCCGGGAGGACACCCACCGGCAGGTCCTGCGGCTGCACACAAAGCTGGAGGACTCCATGGACTTCCTCTTAGTGAGGGTCATTGCTATTGCTGCCACTGCTGGTCTGAGTGGGATACTGCTCTATGCAGCCAAGATACTTTTGTCCTAACAGAGGAGAGATCACGGTTAAAAGGGTTTGGTCCAAGATGTGGTCAATGATGAGGATATGATTAGAAGCAGGCGAAGGCAGGTCGGAGATATCGATGCAATTTACTGTGAGATTAGTTTCACAGCACTCACCACTACAGCTCAGTGGTATGATGTGCTCTGTTGGCAGTTAACACAAACTTACATTATTGACTTTAACTTGCAATGACAAATGTGGTTTGGTGTGAAGGGTTTATTTGTGCAATTTCTGTGGGATTTACTGTGAGACACTAAAATATGGAGGTGATACCTTAGAGCATTGGTTCTCAACCTGGGGTCCCAACCTCCAAGGGGGTCGTGTGATCATTTCCAGGGGGTAGCCATGTTGTTGGGGGAAAAAAAACAAAAAAACATTAGGTTCTAGCTGTTAAAACTAAACCAATCTGTCATTATGTAAAGCATTATTTATTATTTATTTACATTTATTAATCAGAGCATTTACAATATTAACTCAACATCAGCAGTGTGAGGCGCATAGAAACAGCTGGTTATGACTTACAGCTCTGTCCCTTTCTCTCTCGCTCTCTCTCTCCTGTAGACTGTCCTTTCACCTCCCTGTCCTTTCCCTTCTGTCTGTGGATTGCTACAATGGCGAGAAATAGAATTAGAAAGTTCTATTTACAACCACGAACAGTAAGCTGCCTAAGAAACCAAACTAAGTGACGCGTCCTGACTGTCTCTCTATTGATCTCCTCTGCTCCGTTTCAGTACTATGGACAGCTCCGCACCTTCACACGCACCCCCTAATTTAGCCACACTCATTTCACTATTTCACAGCACAAACACCCACTGGCTTAGATGTGGGGCTTAGAGAAATCATATCCCAAAATATTTAGACACCAACCTCATTATTCTGGGGGCTCGTGACTCAAAAAGGTTGAGAACCACTGACTTAGAGGCTCAGCTGCTGTACAAGCTCCCCCACCTTTGCTCAGTTATAGGAGCGATGCTCTCAACAGTGACAGTAAATTGGAGCTGAAAAACTGGCTTAATCTTAATTTTGATGCAGCAGTCAACAAATAACCAACATCAGTGCAACCATTAAAGATACAGACTGTAGTCTGTTTATTTGGTTAGACCTTAAGAGGTTTTTCAAATTAGACATTTTGGTTGGTTGCGTAGATTCAAAATTTAAAACAAAAACAACTGACGTTAGAGAGAGCAAATTAACAAGTAAAAAAACTTGATTTATTCTGCACCAACTCACTTCATTTTTAAGTACAAAATACCTGTTCTATCTCCCGTCATGGATGTTTTAAATTGGATGGGGTACCCTCATAGAAAAACAAATTAATGTGCTGGAATAGGCATGATCTGATGCTTACAGATTATGTTATGATTGTATGTTAATGACCTGTATAATGAAGATGTATGACAGAATGTATTTGACAATCCGTTTTTAATGGGAACAGTGTGAATTTACACAAATTAATAGACTATATTTATCACTGTATTTTCTTACACTTCTGTCTGTGATGTTTTATTTTTTTGGTGCACACTCACTTGGAACTAAAATACAACATTTGTAACGTTAGCTGCTTAACTTAAATATATCACTGTTTTAAAGGAACGACTATCAGATGGTGTCAGTGTGTGTTTCGCTTATTGTTACCTTGTGCAGAGTTTCACTGTAGAGTTTCATCTGGTGAAGACGGAAAGTTTGTCTGTGCTGAGTTTATTACGTACAAAAAACATGATTTGGTGAGATGATGACTAGTTTGGAAGAGCATCATGGTCCAGTATATAATATACACAAGAGTGATTCGAAAACAAAAAGCTTCAGTGCACATACACTGAGAATGGACTTTTCAGTAAAGTGTCTATAGTTGTATTTTTATAACAAGTTGTTATAGTTATATATATATATATACATATATATATATATATAGGGTAATTGAACTTTTTTGTGAAAAAAATCACATGCAAATTATAATTAAGAACAAAGTATTTTTATATGTTTTAAAACGTGTGGGCATTTGGTGGGATCTTTAAACAACTTTATTCTGTTTTAGTCAAAAGTTAAGGAAGGGGTACTCCAGCCATTTAGAATTGGGTCTTTGTTCATTTTTGGGGATTGAAGACCGGTCTAAATCAAAGCAACAGAGGCAGACATATCACAGGACAACTGTTTTCACATGCTCAGTCGGACTCTTGAAGAGTAAACTGATCTTTATGTGTAAAATCAGGGCAGTGTCTACTGGGTCTGCAACTAACAATTATTTTCATTACTGTTTATTCTGCAGATTATTATATGGATTAATTGTTTTGTCAAGGAAAACACTGAAAAATACCACTTATTAATGCAACCCAAGATCACATCTTGAGATTGTTTTTTCCGACCAACACTCCAAAACCGAAAGAGTTTCTGTTTACAGTCATGTATGATGAAGAAAAGAATCAAATTCTCACATTTGAGAAGATGGAACCAGTGAATGTTTATCACATTTACTTAAAAAATTAAGAAAAAAGAGCTGACTACCAAAATAGCTGATTCATTTTCAGGCGATCAACTAATTGATGAATTGGCGGATTATTCCAGTTCTTGCCCCTATCATAATGCCTAGAAATCATATTTGCACTACTGAAATGCTTTTACTTCCAACTCTTCAAAGGACATAGAAATTCTTCATGTAATTAGGTCCTTCGGGAAAACGTGTTAGTGAGACGACTTCAGGAGACAATAATAATGAACTTGTATTAATGGTTAGTTGAGATGTCCTTGCTCTTATTCACATTAGGCATGAAATTTCAGGCCCACAGGCAGGCGCGGTGACATCATCCTGGCACTGAGGGCCCACAAGCCTGCGTGGCTCACTTGGCTCCGTCTAAGCCCCTACTGGTCTGCTCTTTGTTTTTATCAAGCCCCTGCAGAATTAATGCAAAGTGACTCGGGCTGTGGTGGGTGGGGGGCAGTCAACCAAAGGCTGCATGGACACACATTTGGATACATATGTAATATACAAAATCACAGCCACACACACAATGTAATCTTTTAAACACATGCAAACTGTACACACAGTACAGTCGTCCATATAATACAAACAGTCACATTGGACCATAATCAGTCCAGGGTGGCCATCATTCAGAGCCAGGATGAAGAATATGCTATTCTTAGGTTGCCTTTTTTTTTTTTTTAAAAACCTGGCTCTACCGTGATCCAGGGGGTAACATGCTTCCCTGAGCAGCCAGCTGTTCAGCAGAGATTTCCAAGTGTGCCTATTCTCAGTCTCTTTCTCAGACACAGACAGAGGCCAGATGCAGAGCGTGGAAGGAAGTCTATATCTGTAGCAGCAAGTGTGAATGCTCCAGGCAGAAAAAGGGTGGCGAAGTCTCAGTCTGAATTTAAATTGGGTTTAATTCTGACTGTGTCAAGCTAAAAGGTGAAAGTCTTAAGTTGCCTTGTTACACTTTGTAAAAGTGCATGGATGCAGGCACAACCTGCTGCTTTATTGTGTGTTGTGAGTCCTCTCCAGGAGCAGAGCAAATAATTTTCTGATAGCAGGGGGGTAAAGACTTCTGTAATCTCACCATCATGTTCAGAGAGTCGGCCTAAGGCACCACAGTGTGTCGACATTTTGGAATCTCCTGTCTGAGTGGTTTTTCATCATCTCCCCGCCTACTGCCGAAAGGGAAGGTAAAACAGCTTGGGCGAAGGCAAACAAAATAAAAAGCTTTGCAAAAAACTACATTTTAGACAATTTTTCAGTAACTATTGCATTAGCCAGTGTTGTTGTGTGTCTGAAGTGTTTACTTCTGGGGCCTAATTTTTTATCAACACAATGAAAACACATGCAGTCCCAGAGGGTGATACGCTTTCAGTATTCATCAGGGGTTGTTTAAAGCAATTCATTTGTTGCATTTTGGTGACTTGTCAGTGAGTACAACCCTCAGATGCTGTTTTCTTCATTAACACATTATGTTTGTGTTTGTTGAGGAAGGTGAGTGGTGTGTAAAAGCAACTGTGAAGTCCCAAATCTGTTTTGGATGTAAATGTCGCAGGGCTAGTTTGTGAACTGCTGTAGTTAGCAAGTTAAGCATTAACTTGCTAGTTGACCCAGGCGGGCTAGTGCTAGTCAGTCACAATATCTCCCAGAGCATCTCTATATCTTTTCTCTACTGATCTGTTTATGTACACCTGACATTTTGTTCACCATTGCACACAATTTTGTTTGATTGAAATTTATTGAAGAAATAAAATAAAAATATCTCTGAGCTAATGAGCTTGCTAAAGGGAAGTCATTAAACTCATAAACTTAGCTTTGTCGCTAACGGGACAATATAGTTCACATTAACTCTTGTCTCATCACAGTCTGCAAACCATTCCGCTTTTGTGGAACAGTTTTTACACGGAGGATGTTAAATAAAGTGGTGCAGTACAGTAAATAATCCAGTATCACTTCCTCTATTTTGGAGTACTTTTACTCTCAGTTCTCTCAAAGGTCAAGATTGCTTGCTGTGCAAATTTGTATATCAAAATTCACCAAAGTTGAATTTGAAGTGGAGTGATGATTTTAATGGCAACCCATCCATTAAGTGTCAGGATATTTCACTCAAAACCACAATGTCAATCTTTATAGCTGCATTCTAGGAAAAGTCAGGGGATCACCAATCATTGTTGGGGCGCCATCTGTACCAAAATTTCACGAATCAAGCAGTTGTTGAGATATTTCAGTCTGGACCACAGTGGCAGACATACCGACACAGGTGGCTCTAGAGCCATGCCGCTAATGTTGCTAAAAACAGGTACTGGCAAAGTAGCTGAGCATTTCTTACTCCCACAGATAAGTGACAAAAAATGAAATAAATCGTGGCTGACCTCTCTCTAGGCTGACAAAGGTGTTTCTAGGAAATATCTAACTGAGGCAACAGTGAGTGACTCTGGTTAAAGAGAGACGGGTACAACCGGAGACAGTAGAGAAACCTACATTTGAAGTACAAAACTCTCCTGAAAATTTTTTGGACATCAAAGATTGTTGATTTCACGTTGTGCAAAATGGTTGATTTGTCTTTTGAATTTCTACCTACATAGATATAATATGAGAATTTTTGAGTTATTAGGTGATGAGGACCACAAAGAAAGATGTCATTTGAATAAAGTGCAAATCAACCAAAAGAACAACGGTAAAAACCCACTCTGATGCGCCCACTCTCACTTGGCACAACAGGTCACAGATGCAGATCGACACTAACGGGTAGAAGAAACTGGCCTGAGCAACCGTAACAACTGTAGTGTTCTTGAACTCTGGCTTCTAGTGTCATGCCGAGGAAAGGGGCACTCGCAGCGCCTCCGTAGCCCGTTGTCAGGCTGCATCCACGAGACTGTGGTGAGGTGAAGAGACAGGCAACACGCCAGCGGAGCGTCCCTGGCCACATGACTCAACCTGTCCCTACGTGTTAGCCTTGGCTCAGTCAGGACCATGAGGGAACAAGGCCAATGGTATTGAGTCATGACACACTGGACAGTCCCCAGATCAAGCATGATGATGGGAAGGAAGTGGGGGAAGCATTGCATGATGTCATGCATGTATGTTATTTTGTGTATTCATCTCCCCCTGCCACTTACTGGGAAGTTACATCTGTTCACATTTTAGATTTTGACCACAAATGAATGGCCTTTTGGCTCTAATCAATTTCTTTTCGGGAGCCTCTCCATCATAGTTTTGATAAATTTTTCCATAGTCCCTTTTATTACCTACTGCACCCCCACACTTATGGTAGCATATGATAACTGTGAAAGAAATTATACTATAATTACTTTATAGGTTCCACAGTATATCAATCATGTGAAAACCATTTCCCCCATAATTCAGTTTCCCAGTACTGTATCTTGTGCTCACCCAGTGTCCACAAGAACACTTCAATCCCACTAACAATCTGGAAAATCACATCAAATCAGCTGTTAAGCTTTAGCAGTATAATATAATGACAGTAAAAAAAAAAGAAAAAAGAATCCACTGCACTGGAAATGCTTATCATGAACGCATACAGTATCTCCCCTCTGGCTTTGCCGACCACTCTGCCATAAAGCTGGGAAAGAACTGATGAGAAAGCAGCAGAAACTGATGACAGCATTGTAATTTTCACAATAGAAAATTTGAGGTCTCACAAAGATCAACTACCTCGTAATCATGCTCTTTAATTGTACTCGGAGTTTTTCTTTTGTAATCGTGCATGGCAGAATTGTTGACATGATCTTATGTAAAAGGAAATCATAATGCATCTGTTAACTTACCCTATACAATGATGTATGAACTCGAAAAACACTTGAAAAAATAATTCTAACAATTTTCCAAACTCTTGATATTGCAGTTCCACAGACGTGCTGCAAGTGCAAGTATGCTGCATTTCAGATTGTAGCCCGAAGGATGAGTTCAGCTAGTGTACACACAAACACTTACTGTTTATTTTTAGACTCCCAAGGTGATATGCACAGGCTCCTGGCGATCCTTAAGATAATAGGTCTGAAGAGGATGGCAGAGCAGCTGGCAAGATTCTGTTCAATGTCAGTGGTTATTGACAGCCAGACAGTATTGAGGAGACACTGATTTTTTTGCCACGCTAGCGGCACGGCTAGA